TGTCCCCCCGCACACAATCGACTGGATGCAGCCTCACCTCTCAGACTCTCCCCAGATTTGCTCTGGCGACGATGAGCTCCAATCCATATAGGCTGCTCCTTTAGTCAACGGGCATCCATGCCGGTAAGCCTCTGCCTTCAAATCACCCGTCCATTATTCATTTTTTAGAGAAAATACAACCACACAGAAACATGTTAATGTACGCGGTCGACGCACCGCACGTCGCTCAGGTTTGGAGGGGGGTGTGTGAGGATGCGCGCCCTCACAAATGAAAGCAGGGATGATACAGGAGCCCCCATCCCACAGAGCAGAGCCCCTGCTGTTCGACCAGCCCACCGCCACACGAGCTGACAGGAAGAATATATAGATAGCCTATATATATATGCTGTGTGAAAAGTAAAAAGGCTTTCTATCATCCTTTAGAAGAATGATATAGGTATATACATGTAAGTAAATAGGATAATAAGAGCCTATATACAAAGTAAATGTAAATGTTAACATATTCCACAGTATGTGCTGACAGAGGTTAAATAGTAATGAGTTTAATAGTTGTGTTGCAGAAGTTATAGATAATTACAAGGAATGATTGAATAATTACAAGAATAACATAATAATAATGATAATAATAATAATAATAATAATCAAGTGTGTACATATAAAAAATATAGTAAAAGGTAAGTATTATTAGAAAAATGTTTTTGAAGTAGAAAAAAGTAACACTAATTGTAATCCCATAACATAATGGTGTCTCTTCTAATTATAACAAACTTATTTCAAACTGTTTCAACACTAACTTTCATTAATTACTTCTGCGCCATGATTTACCTGCAAACCCACTCAGAGGCAGCTGATCATTTTATCTATTTGAAGATAGTGACACTGACTCAGGGGTCCTGCTCTGAGAGAGTACGGGGATTAGAGGGACAAAGTTAATAAGATTATGTCATTGTTTGCTTTAGCAGTCAGTAACAGAGAGAGGATGTGAAGAGGGATACAGCTTTGGTAATCTTGTTAGAGGAAACAGCACCAGTGTGTAACTTTCCCTCAAAATATACCACCCAGATCTGGATGAGCTCTTCACTGAGCTCTGTGGCAACACACATGAGCCTGAAGGGTGAAGAATAATTGTGCTGAGCTAATAAAGGAACCAAAAATATCAAAGCTAGGATGTTCTGTTTCATATTTACTCCTAGTTGGTTGTCATTTCCAAAACTACCACATTTATAACTGCTCTGCTGCTTTGACAGTATCAGTGTGAGCATGTAGTTTATGGGGACATTTTTACTATGGCGCCCTCTCCTGGGGCTGTCGTTGCAATTGTGGTTGTCACTCACTCACTCTGCAGTGCTTAGCAGTTTTGTGAAGCTGAAGCACCAGTGCTGGAGGGAAACACACAGACCAGTTTCACAATAAGCTCCATAATGACCTTGACCTCTGTGAAGACTGCTGCTTGTATAATTGAAGATTAAAGACAAGCTAAAGATGTCTTTCTGGTTGTATTTATATCTAGATGCATTCAGATACTTGTTAACACAGTAAATGAGAAGATATGCCCTTTTACTTACTTTAACTGGATGGTTATGTTTAGCCTGGTTAAGATGAGGTATATTTTTCATGGTTAAAAGGGTTCAGGTTGTTTCTAGTATTATGTCTTTAATGTGATGAGGTTGATTTCCCTACATCGGAGGCTTCCAACCTTTTTCTATCATTGAGTAAACTGACGACTCCTGACTAAGTGACATATTATATTAATATTTCATATTATTTGTGTAAGTGTACAATGAACCCAAATACAAACAGCAAGAAGTGTGTTTAAAACCAATGATTTGGATACATTTTGAACAGATTAGTTCCTGTTTAGGGATATTTTTATACAATACTCTATCTGTATTAAGTATTTTTTACAATCGTACATATTTCATTTAATTTCTGACAAATTCAGTGTTTTCTTCACATTGTTCTATTGGTTCTTTGATTGTTTGAACTTTTCTAATGTAGGACAAGGCTGTTTATCTGAGTAAGGGCTCTGTGAATACAGCTTGTGTTCAGTTTAGGTCTTAAATAATAACCTGAAAATTAAAAATAACAATCTCATTTAGTTGTGTTCACAGAAATGAGCCAAATGCTGAGATATAGGCCTACTGTATGTATATTTTTAAGTTTTCTTACACCCCTTAAAATCAAGGCCACAAGACCCCTGTTGAAGCTTTAGCGACCCCTAGTGGGGCCTGACAACCAGGTTGGGAACCACTAACCACTGCCCTACATGGTTGATCAATACTTGCCTCTAATTTCTTAAATAGTTAATAGTCCCTGTGTGTTTTTATTACAGAGGTGTAGTAGTTATACTTTAAATCTGAGTCACAAAATAATGCCATATTAATCTTTTCCAGGGTTTGTAACAGTTTGAGTCTCATGGTCAGTGCATGAGTTGGCAGCCATGTGGCAAACACTAGTAAAACTGTAAGGTTTTACTAGTGAACATTATCCAACAAGCTAATTACTTACCTGAAGATGATGGAGTTGTCAAGCATCTGGCTGCAGGTCTGTTGCTGTGGGGGACTTTCAGGCTATCAGACATGGCTGTTAGATATATGTTGTGTTTGGTGTCTCTTCAGGTAAGACGTGCTGCCCATACCGTTTTGCATTACACAGTCTGTGTGCCCTGACCTTATATATACAGTCAATGGCCCTGACTCACTGTGACACTTAAACAAACTGCAGACGCTTTGTCTCTTTTCCAATATATACTCTACCATACTCTCTCACCCAGATGTGGTCTGTCAGTACCATTTAAAGTCCCAGTACCCAAATCTAGTCATGTGTAAATGAAAAATATCCCAACAGTTAAAAAATTGTTTATTATGAGTTTAAAAACAAAACAAAAAAAGAAATGAAAACATTATATTTATTAGCTTTCTCAGCATGCTTGTTCAACTGTTTAAGTCGAAATCTGGTCACAACAGTCAACCTTTAGTCCCATTTGATTCATTTATATGGTCAATTGAAAATATTGTCAATATATGCAATTATATTTGAAAAGCCTCAACGGTATACATAGAAACCAACATGGTTTTGAAAAGTGTAAGAAATGTCACATCTTCCATGAAAAAAGGGCCTTTCAGTGACCTAAGTGGTCCTAAGTGAAGGTCCAGATGAAAGAAGTCACCGGCTGACGTTTCCCTTTCAAAGAAATTGTCGAATGAAAGTGAAAACCGTTTTAATCTTAACCAGGGTTTGGAAATGTTTCACCATTAATGCATCACGGAAGAAATACTTCTCCCTATAGATTGTCTTTTCTGATGTAACTCTGATAAGTTATTTGGACTAGTACCTGACTGCTGAGTGCATAGAGCTTCTTCCACATAAAGGATATAAATGGGAGTGAATCATTAAATAGTGAACTGAGGAATTTTTTTTCCAGTTGTGTTTATTTAAATTAGGCTGCTCTGCAACTTCTTTTAACATCTACTCCTGATACGTTTGAGACACAAAGAGGCCTATGTACATTTTGTTTCATCAGTCATTTACAGAAAAAAGTCATACTTTTTTTAATCTCTTACCAACAAACTTATGCTGACAGTTCTGTATCATGTGCTCCATGTGCTGCAAATCAGCTGCAATGACTGCAATACACACTAGATGTCCTCGTAAGACCACTGTGCACTCAGGCATTTAGCACTCCCACAAAGAGATACCCTGTGGCTCTACAATATCATACCACATTTTTAGCCTTACACAGTAATGCTTCATTATAGCCGTTCACTTCACTTCTCAGTATCCATACTGTCACACAAGATATAGAAAGTACAAAAACAACATCAAGTCCTTTTCCCAAAGACCACACGGGGTTCCGTCCTGCTCCCTCGAGGTTCTGTAGAGATGATCCAGATGGCAGGGGCTTTCATGAAGTCCCTGTCGACCATCTTGTTCTCCTCTGCCCGGGCCATAGCCTCCAGTTCAGGGGAGGTTTCTGGGCACCAGTCTGCCATGAACTTATCCTTTGCTTCACAGTAGTTCACCACCACTTCCTCAGGCTGCTCCCCAAACAGCCAGTCTGAAAAACAGAAAGAGAGGGGAATATGTGTATGGATACAAGAGAAAAGCACTGTGGGTGATGATATTTAATAATGGAAACAAGCACTTTTTTTCTGGCTTAAGAAGAATCTACAGTACAATCACAAACCTGCAAAGTCATGGATGAGGTCTTTGATGAGGTGGCCAATGATGGCATAAAGAACACCCATCAATATGAAGACAGCCATGATCAGGTAGAGGACATAGGTAGGCAGGTGGATAGCATCCCGAGAAGGGGGTATATAGCTCTCAAAGAACACCGTCCCATCTTCTTCCTTGTAATGAACGTTAAAGTTCTCTGTCGGCTCTTCCATTGCTGTCTGGGAGTCTTGAAGAATGCTGTCAGCCAAGGAATCCACTTAATACCTCAGTGTCATAGCTGTGGGAGCAGACAGCGATCCTCCAGTTCACTGGGTGTCTTCACACTCCTGGATAAACTCTACACAACAATATCTGTCGCTTTCATTTTGTTTCCCTGTACGAACACTCTCTGTCTGCTCGTGGTGGTGCTATGCAGATGGAAAATAGATAAGCTGCAGCAGCTTGAGGTTCTCAAGGTGAGAGGAACAACGCTGTGAGCACAGTGTCCTAATGAGGTGGACAGTATTTACCTGATGCATATAGAAAGGCATGCATGACCTATCTATCTATCTATCTATCTATCTATCTATCTATCTATCTATCTATCTATCTATCTATCTATCTATCTGTCTGTCTGTCTGTCTGTCTGTCTGTCTGTCTGTCTGTCTGTCTATCTATCTAGTTCAATGTTCTTCTGCTTACGGTATTATTGAACAGTGTTTAATATGGCTAATGTACAGTAATCCTTGGCCTTCACAAATAAGGTCAATGGCTCTGACCCAACCAGGTATTAGAGGAAGGTAAGATGGATTAATGAACACAGACAAGACACAACAACACTCTTGTATTATTCAGTTGTTTACTGAAGAGAGGCTTAGTCCTACACCAGAACAGGAAAACTGACGTGATTGATTTTTTTTTTCTTCAGTGACACATTACAACAACGTGAGTGATGTAATGGGAAAATGCAGGTTATGACAGTTTGACCCATTAGTGAGGAAAATGCACAGAAATTACACATCATTTGCAATTTTACAAAACTTTCTTGACGTTTTCATAGAAGAATTTAACATTTTCATTGTAAAAGAGCTTTCAAGATGTAAACATTTTGGGATTTAAATTTCAGTTATTAAAATAAAATGTATTTTTTTACAGCTCACAACAACATCTTTGAAGTTTACATCATACATAATTTACATTTCTTAGCCTGAGGAATTTGGACAGAAAACGGTAGTGTATTTTGAATGAATGACAATGTGGACCAGGTTTACACACATTAAGTAATCAAAATAAGCATTTGTTTCTCAGCAAAATGAGAACAAACTATAGGTGTGTTTTATATAAAACAAAAATGCCTAGGCTACTACAGCATCCCTACAGCAAAGAGACAACACTGATTACTGCACTGAAATGAGATATGTGACAAAAACTGAACTGAGCCACTGCTGCGACAAAGTGATGTTGCAAAACTCAAAGGGAAGTGACATAAGGGGTCATGGGGCAGGCGAAGGTCACACTATGAGTAGATATCCTTTTTTCTCCAGGGTATGATGAAGTGATGGTGCTTTGCAGAGGAGGAGGGGAGGATGGACGGTGGCAGCCTGCGTCTCCCCGGTGGAAACCAGGCAACAGCCCGTCCCTTTCCTTCTCCATCTCCAGCCTGTCTTTCTCCATCAGCTTACTGGAAACGCTCAGTTGCCACTCTTTTTCTGTTTCTGCTCTCCCTTCCTCTGAATCCTCCTCCACTGGTTTGGGGCCAAGAATCCAGTCTTTGAGGAGAAGAACAAAAATGTGACAATTAAATTACATAACATTACGTTCTGTGACTTCTAAGAGTGTTTCAAAGGGGCAATCTCAGTTCAGTTTACATGTCATGGTGGGGCTCAAACGCAGTTAAAGCGGATGGACACTGTTTCTTTTTATGTGAACATGAAACCACATTATCATCACTATTTTGTTGCTGCTGTTTCCCCCAGATACAAATTCAAAAGATGCACTGTAGAATTATTTCCTGGGTGTATATGTGTATGTATATAAATAACTGTATATATTGAATTATTCTATTTTCTTCAATGAATTTTACAATCTTGTGTATAGGGACGTGGAGTTTGTGGAAATTTTCAGGCCGGGTAAGTCAAATTAAAGATTCTATTGGGTTACATCATGTGAAAAGTGTTTTTTTGACTAAAAGTCTAGATATCTTGGGCTCTAAAATGTGTGTAAGTGCAATAGGAAAATTGCCAAAGTACCCCTTTAAGATGTTACTTTAACAGCAGTCATTAACTTAAACAAGTGTTTTATTTAATCGGTTCTTGGCGTTCACCTTAATGGTGGAAATATGGAAATGACAAGGAATCTGTTGGAAAGGTTGTCCTTTGCACACAAACAACAACATGAATGTGAATGAGGATCATTATCAAGCAATATGGTCACCCACAGGGGGGAAAAGGAAAAGACAAATTATGGATGGAGCCTCGGCTCAAGAGCTCGAGGAGGAAAAATTACTCAAACACATGGAAAATGTGGACACCAGGGTGGAAAGTTTGAGGGAGGGACACCAGCCAGCGGGGTTACCTGCCAGATCATGCATCAGATCTTTAATCAGATGTCCCACAATGGCGTAAGTGGCCACTATAACCAACACCACCCCGACCAGGACATAGATTACATTGCGCGGCAGAGTTATAGCATCTCTTGCTGGCGGTATATAGTCCACGAAATAGGCCTCTTCCTCCTTCCTCCTGGACAGCTGGAGGAGCTGTCGGTGCTCAAACACCAGTTGTGTGAGGTTCAAGAGAGTAGCTCCACCTGAGGCGTTCAGGGGCACAAGTTGTTGTTGGTTCATGATGGAGTTGATAAGTGGATACTGTCTTTATTATTTTAGGATAGTCTGTTCAAAAAATGTTGTGAATCTTCAGAGTTTTTTTTTGGGTGATCACAGATTTATTTTCTTTTTGTGGATCCAAGCTCCTTCATGGCACTGTGAAAACTTTGGAAACAGGACGAGGAGGGAGAGTAACTGAGCATTAGAAGATTTTAAACATTGTTATATTTTCTGAAGCTGGGGAGAATGTCAGGATTGATGATTGAGATGGAAATGTCAAGATGGTTCAAAAATGAGAATATGGTCTCTTATGAGCGACAGCTCTCTGTTACAAAGTAGTGCTTCAAGAATGCAGTTCACCAGACAAGAAAAATGTGATAGCATAAGTGTGCCAATTCTCTTAATCTTTCGTCTAGACTTAAATCCCAGCATTCCTCCTTCTAGTCTTTTGGAGAGGGGTCCTCGGTCAAAACATCCAGGGGAGCGAGGAGTGTGAGACGCAGGAGAGGTGAATATAGGACAGATAGAGTTAATAAGATTGAGTCTGTCACAGAGCAATATCAGCTTTCAATCTGCAGGGATTAGAGATATGAGCGAGGAGAGGTGGACAGTAATTCGCCAAAGAGGCTTATGGTCCTCCATGACCATGATGCATATATATATATATATATATATATATATATATATATATATATAGATACATATATTACAGTAAACCCACTTTCTCCTGGATTTAAACCAGCCTTGCTTTATGGATGTTACAGGCTTTAAATTCATTTTAAGCATAGCATTTTCACTTCTTATATTCTATAAATAATCTGTCACATAATTCACTGATATGACACTTTATTTTCATGGCTCATTTCTTGCTTCATAACACAGCAGATGGTGAAATTTCAACATGCAATCTGAGTTTTGTGACCAATAAATATCTCCATGGGTAGGAAAACTGTACATCATCAAATGTAACTTATGAAAGACCCATGTGAAAAGGAACACATGCTGATGAAATAAGGAAGTTTGAAGATGTTACAGTGAAGTTTTAGGGCATAAAGATGACTATATACATTATAATCAAGACTTGAAACAACTCCTCACCTTTTTTCTTTGACTTGTGAATGAAAAGATGTCCAAATTGTTGTGTATCGCACACAGACGGCTCTGGAAACAACCACAAACACACAGCAGAAAGTTAAGGTCGTCAAAACTAATGGCTTACTGTGGCAGCTCTGTCATGACAAACCGTAAAAAACCCCACCATCAATGATTTTTCTCTATGAGGTAACAATGATCCAAAAATACGTTTCCATCCTCCCAGATCTTCTCGGTGGAGCATCAGGATGTAGATTTCTTCTCTAAGATTTAGATTAATTTTCTTCTTTTTGCTTGGAAAGTTTTATAAACTGAGAAACAAGAAATGACCATTCTACGATGGTGATGGCAACATTTGCAAAAAGAATGAACCAAGAGACCGGGTGCAGGCCGTAGTAGAAAACATGATGTGACATGTTTTCAAAAGAGGATATATATATATATATATATATATATATACAAAAAAAAAATATATAAAAGGATGAAGAAAAGAGCAGCAGAAAAAACAAAATAGATGTAATCAAGGCGTAGTGTGAGTTCTCTGAATGTGTCTCAGGGTGAGGCTGTCAGGAGAGTAAGACTGTGACAGTATGAAGGTGTTCTTTAGTAATCCTTGACAGGATTTGGCTGACACCAGCCACTCTCAGCAGCAACACCTTTTAACTGAGTCAGCAGAAAGCAAAACAGAAGACAGAGTTCATTTAGCATCACCTGAAGCCACTGTTGACACCAAAGTTTGGTGCAGTTTGAACAGCTGACATCACATTGAAAGCCACAAACATTACTGGAAGATAAATCACAGATAATGAAAGGTACAAGTCAGGGCATGCTAAAGTTTCTGATAAATCCCAGACATTACCTGTAAGAATGATTCCTTTCTCATTCACTTGCAGGATCCATTCAGTTCAGTAAAAAATATATAAATTAGCAAAAAAAAGAGGTTTCCCAGTCTTCTCCAGGTGAAACAGAAAGCAGATCAGATGCAAAATCAGACTCCACAGAAAGCACTATAAGCTGAACTGCTCTCGCAAACTAGTCCTAAGCAAAACAAAATAATAACACCCAGTCATTCGGTCAGTCCATATTGACTGTGACTCCCTCAGGCTGGGGTGACCTCCTTCTTGGGTTTGTCTTCTGGCTCCATCATCCATTTGAGGTAGGCATCGCTCAGGATGAAGGTCCAATAGACAACAGTTAGGGAGGTGTTTACAGTAATAATGCCGATGATTAAAGGGTGCAGCATGGTGGCAGACTGTGTGGACTCTTTTAAGAATCTGTGTCACCTCAAAAAAACGTGTGTCTGCTGTGTGGGCGAAGGGTTGTCTGTACACTGGATCACCTCTCCGTCTGCTCTCTCCATGGACTCCCCACCCCTCTCTACTCTCTCTTTCCACTGACCACTAAGTTTCTGTGGCAGCAGCAGAATTAATCCTCTTCAGCCGCTTTGTTACAGAAGATAAAGTTGCATTAGATGTAGGCCTGCTTTACAAACATTGTTCATCCATAGGATGTTGTTGCGTAATGGACAAGTTAAGTCTTTACAATATGCAAAAAAAGCAGTATGAGCCAGTAATTTGTAAAGAAACTGCTCAAGAAATGTAACAATGATGATTTGTTTTAAACAACGCTCCTGACTGAAAAAAAAACATAATCTTTGTTCTGAACTTTATGTTCTCTCTCAGAAATAATCCAGAATCTAATCAAGACTTGAGACATCAGACGGAGGAGTTCTTAATCTCACACCAAACAAGACAGATGGCTCCTTAATCGAACCCCCAGGGGCCACAGGAGCCTAGACAGCTCTTCAACATGTGCAGCATGACCGGGATTTATTTTTTTTATTTCTTTCTTCTGTCATTGCAGACTCATCTCATGTACCTAGAATGCATAAACTGAGTGGAATTAGAAAGCAGAAGCACAACCACTAAATTCAGTGACTTGAAAAAGCTTCGAGGGAAAGAAACTAAAACATTAGAAGAGTTCCTCCAGCAGATGGCAGTCTGTACAAGCATACGCTGTATGGTGAATGGCCATAGGTTGGATCATTTGGTTTCCTAGTGGCATGTGGAATTGCTCAACTGTAATCAGCTGTCATTAATTGTAACCACAAATAACTACCAAAGAGAAACGCATATTTTACGCATTACGCACGGTTCAGCAATCGATTACCTGAACTTTGCACCGCCCCCCCTTTTTTTAAATTGTCACTCAGGTGAACTTTGAGCAGACGTATTGGAGCAGCTGCCTCGTTTTTTATCACAGATCAAAAGGCAACGGCTTGACACTCCTTTTCATTATCTCCGTTCCTCGGTGGCAGTGGAGAGGACACTGGCTTCTAACATGCACATCTTCACAACCACGAGTGTTTAGCAGGGAATATTTCTTTCTGCACATTTGGGTTGTTGTTTTTTTTAAGAGGTCAAACAAGAAGTTTTCAACAATGAGGCCGCCTGTGGAAGTCTCCGTGTTTCTCCTTTCTCTTTTGGCTCCTGGAGTTTTGTACACCATGAACAACATCCCAGCACTACAGGAGTAAGTGTGCGCATCCAGTGTTTTGGTCATTTCACTCTCATCTGGGCCTGCTGTATGGAGGCATCGCACAGTAAAGCCGCTGATATTAATAGGCTTATGAAGCGGCCCACAGCCTGAAGGAAAGGGAGGTTTAGCGAGGGCGTATTTAACCTGAGGTAACCTCCTTTAAAGTTACTGTTGAGATTCTTAAAGCTTAAACAGAACACAAGATTCACTTAAGCCTTGGGTATAAAATTAAGTGAATTAAAGGAAAATGTAATCTCTTAGGAGTAAATGTAGTAAATGAATTGATTACCTTGAGTGGAAGGCTTTAAGTGTTGATCAGTGTACCCAAGATAAGTGCAATTGAGCCATAGAGCTGCACCTTGAAAAGAAATGACTTTAACTATAATTTCTTTAACTCAAAAGATCATGTGGGCTGGTAGGTGTGCAGAATGTACAGAGTTTCGTCTTACTCTTAAATAAAACAGTTATTTTTTTATTTCTCTAAAGTACACCCTAAAGTCAATGAAAAGCTTTTGAATTTGATGTCTAAAGGAGAGTGGCAGCCTTGAGAAGAGGAGTATGGGTCATTTTGAATCCAGTGAAAAAATGTTGGTTTTATACAACTTCTCCTTTTCTGATGAAAGTTTGTAGACTAGTTCATATTAGGGCTGGAGATAATGATTGTCTCCAGTTTTATTATTTTTTCAATTTATCTGCTAATTATTTTCTCAAGGAATCAATTGTTTGATTAGTAAAAAAGTCAGAATAGAAATGCCTATCGTTATTTTTCTAAAGCACAAGGTGACCGAGGTGTTCCTTGTCTGACCAACAATCCAAAACCCAAAGATATTCAGTTTATTGTAACAAAAGACACAAAAAAGCAACAAATCCTTTCAACAGAAAGGCTGGAACTCAGGAATGTTTTTTTTTAAAATTCAATCTATTATCAGAATAGTTGCTTCAGCTCAAGTTAAAATACTTGAAGGGTTGTAGACTTCATATATTCACCATCATCACTGTGACTCTCCTCAGACCTCTTCCTATCCTGGGAATGGGAATGGTCATCCTGGGATTAGTTCTTCTTCTCCTCCTCCTCACTGTGCGAAACAAGACGAAAGTGGATCCCTTGTTCTACGGTATAACACACACTTTAACGTCGATCCGTGAACTGACGGTGAAGCGTTGTTGTTTTTTCATTGTGCCTCTTTGTGTCTGTCCAGTATTTGCAGAATTTTCCTTCACCTGCATGGTGGGCCTGACAAACGCTTTAGAACAGGATGGGTTCATCTCTGGCTTCATGGGCTTCTACCTAAAGATGGTAAGAGGACCTATACCCAGCTAACCCCCCCCCCACTACTTTCTAATGATAGTTTGTATTTCGGACATTTAAATGTCAAAGTTTTAATTTCATCATACGATGCCATCTCTTCAGGGTGAGCCTCATCTGAGTACTGCCTATGCCGTGATGATGTCTTACTGGGAAGGCGTCGTTCACTTTGTCCTCTTCCTCATCATCATCCACCGAATGTTTAAAGGGTAAGTTGTAGCATCACAACCTGTCCGCTGTGTTCAGTGAGTCCTCTTAATGAAACCTGTTGATTTTTTGTCCACGCAGGGAGTCCTATCGTAGCCTGGGGCTGCTGTGGGCCGGCTCCTCAATTGCCCACCACATCGTTCTCATCCCAGGGGTGGTCATTGGTGAGAGCAGCTTACACAAACTCTTTCATTCTTCACATCATAATCAGTGGAGTTTGTGGCTGTTTGCTATTGTTGATGTTCTTGTTCATGCAGGTAAATACGGGTCTAACATTCGACCAGCCTTTTGGAGGAACACCCCCTTCTTTTTGGTGCCTTTCTGGGCGGCGTCCCTGCTCTTCAGCAGACCCCGAGAGATGCCAATCGTCAAAGCAGACGAGGTCAGTGTCAGCAGTTGAGATATTTACAGTATTCTGTAATATAGAGCAGTGGTGGAACTCTTCAGAAGAGCAACGAGGTGAAACTGTGCAGTATTAATCGTTACAGTAAGAAAATAAGTTTACTTGCACTGGTAATAATCTTGTGAGCTCTTATAAACCCCACAGGTTTGGAACGCCTGCCATAGAGGAACAACTGATTTGTATTCATTTACTTAAGATCACAACCTGAGTGATGGTGAATTTTTGAGGCTGATACTGATATTAACCTGTGTCTGAGAATAATGATAATCTATAGCCCAACATATTGGCTAATTATTTGGTTTCCTACATGAACACATTTGACAAGGATCACTCAAATTAGGATTTGTAAGAGCTGTGATAAAGTCTTCTCGAACACATTTAACAACAGGCTTTCTTATGTTAGATGACATTAACGGTATAAAGGTAATGTAAGTTAACAGAATTTCTGTAACAGTAAACTTAACTGGACATTAGATTATCACAAATATTAATTATAGATAGAATAAAACTTTTTTTAAATATATTTTTTATAATTGAAAGTGTTAGCTGAAGAGTGACAGTAAACGGGGGAGAGGGAGAGAGGGGATGATGCGCAAAAAAGGGCCACAGGACATCTTAATAAAAATGAAGGTCAAATATGCATAAAAAATTCTGCCTATTAAACATTTATTGCAAATCTGCCAACATATACACTAATACCAATTAGCCATATTGGCCTTACTGATATATTGGTCAGGCTTAAATAATAATAACTGAAGGGATTACATGCACAGTACATTTACAGATATGTTTCCTGTGTTTACTAGATTTCAGCGGAACAGAAGAAAAGTCTGCTGTCTCGACCTGTTGACCTCCTTCTGTCACTTCTGTTATTCGTGGCAATGGCCTTCTCTGTTTTCAGAGGCTTTGTGAGTAAAACTACATGGGAGCTTTTGTATCTGTCCAGCATTACTGTTCACTAAGACATGAGGACACATGTACAGCATGGATACTGTAACTCTTGCTGCTCTGCTCCAGGTGGTGCTGGACTGTCCTCTAGACTCCTGTTTCACTTACATCTACCAATACGAGCCCTACCTCAAAGACCCAGTTGGCTTTCCCAGGGTTATGGTCAGTCTGGAGAGAAATGCATCATACAGTGTACAGTGTATTAAACCAAATGTACTATATTTTTTGAAAATAACAGATTTTTTTGCATTAATACTCTAGATGCTGGTGTATTTGTTCTATGCTCTGCCCATGCTGACTGTGTTCATCTATGCTCTGAAAACACCGGGATGCAGCTGGATGCTGGACTGGACCATCTTCCTTGCTGGAGCCATGGCTCAGGTAACTATGGTTATTATGTCTTTGCTGTCATTAAGATCCCTTGAAAAAGCAAAATACAGCATAAAGTTGACTCCCTCCTGCTGTTTTCTCAGACCCAGTGGTGCCATATCGGAGCATCTCTGCACTCCCGCACTCCCTTCACGTACCGAGTCCCAGCAGACAAGTGGTGGCCTGTTATCACCCTCAATGTGCTGCTCGCTGCTGCACCGACTCTGCTGGCCCTGCGCTGCCACACCAACCCTGCTTATTTTATGAAACCTGTTCCCAAGGGACAGACCAACAGCGAGAAGAAGAAAAACTAGACCACACACACCAGCCATGGACTTCATACTTCATGCTGTGACAAGGCTAATGTTTTCTGGGGACTCTTGTTGGCGCACAACAGCATTAAACACAATTTTTCAAACCCAGAGGAAATCTAAAAACGTTGCTTTCTGAGTCAACTGTTCAAAATCAGTCACCTCGGGTAGAAGCAGCAGCACTCCCTGCATGGACTATTGGACCCTGATAAGAAGGCTGTTGATCGAGGTGAGGACTGTGATCAGCTTGCACAGCTTTCAGGTGACTCATGCAGATACCCAGTTGGTATCTTCCCAAACTAAGACTATTAACC